TGTACAAAAAAAAAAAAAAACAAAAATTGCATGCAAGTAATGCAAAGTTTTATGGCAATTTGTGGGCTTTCAAGTGTGAATTTTTATTCTTTTTAAATTAAACCAAAATAAAAGTATTTCTTTAAGAATAACATAACGCCATAAGTCATAAAAAATACATAAATTAAAGCTGTTTAAAAAACGAAATATCAAAAAAAAAATGAAAATGTTGCAAATTTATATGCAAATGTTAACTATGACGTGTTGAATATGTTGAATATTTAAATAGCATTAAAAAGTTTCGTTTAAGTTTTCATAACCAAATTGGGTTAAAGATAAACTCAAAGACTTGTTATGATTAAAAACAAAAAAAAAAAACCTATGATGAAAAGGAATTTTTTTATTAAATTAATTCTTTTTCGATATTAAATTTTTCTTAAAAAAAATCAAAAAACTTTTTTCTACACTTTAATAAAAATTGCTTTGTTTTGGTTTTCGTATTGTCTGTGAATATTTGTTTTCGTTTTTTTTTTTTTTGTTTCTTGTGAGTTGATATGTGTACGAGCGTACATCAACAACAGTAAACAATGCGGAAGAACAAGAAAAACTACTTCCGGTTAAAGTTTTATTTTTAGCGGTGATGGTGTTGGTTAATATATAAAACACATACACAAGCGCAACTATGTTATACTTGTTGTTGGCGCTCATGTTTATGTAGGTTATATTATTCAGTTAAATACCTTTATTCGCATTGTAGGTGAATTTGTTGTCTTTTCATTAGAAGAGCGAAATAATCATTTTCGTAATTAACATTACTTGGAAGCAAATTTCTGTCCATATCTATGCGATTTGTTCGCATACTTGACATGTACATGAAAAAACTGATTTAAAAAACCTTATTATAATTCCTATGTTGCTTTCCATACGCCCTTTGAAAACCTTTTCCATCAATTCTTTATCAGAGTAAATGCTAAAAATAGTATACGGTAGGATGATGATAAGCGAAGAATCTGGAACGCTTATGCTAAATGGTCAAGTGTGCATAAATTTTTAATTCTTTAATATTCTGCACCCAGCAGTGCTTCTGATCAATTTGCTTTCAAAATATAAAGAAATTTGTATAAAAAACCACTTCTAATTTGTATGTTCTTGATGAGGATAACATTTGGTTGTAATTCGTTTCATTCCTCTTCAATTGTTTGTTCATTCCTTTAACCATAGTTCCTTTCATTTATATTCCTACCGCGAGATATATTCCTTAAATACCCGATAACTCATCGATCAGTTTTTTGGTGTACCGTAGTTTTGTCAATAAGTCCGAATTGTTTTCATAAAAAAATTTGTAGTAAGCATTAGTGTTCGTCTTTAGACCATAATTATAATATAATAAGGATTTGTTGTATAAGGCTAATATTAAGTTTATGAGGATGTATATAACATCCAGAAAGACTGTATATGGAGAACGTTATACCGATCGATTTAAGCTTGTCTCTCAGTCCATGTACCTATCTGTCTATCCGTCTTGTCGTCTATTGTTCAACTTACAAATCAAAATTTTTGAGATATTTTGATCAAATTTAAAAACAAGGCTTTGCATAATTCGCTACAATCCATTCTCAATAGTTTCTCTCGTTCGGTCCATCGGTGTTCCGGAATTTGTCAAAATATACCAAAAATCGCTAGCTGCAGTTAGATCAAAAAAATATATGGGCGGATATCAAGCAGACAGACAGACAAGCTTAAGAACAGATTGAGAACACGATCCAGATCGATCGATATAATAAAATGTGCCTCTATGTCTATCTACATGTGGTTGTTACGTATACCATAATATTCATAAAGAAACTCTGTTCATTAAAAATTAACATATATACCTTTTTCGAATAAAACAATTAAGAACATTAGAGTGGCGTAAAGGGCCGAATATCCTATACCACATTGTCTAACACAAGTTTTGTATGAAATTCAATTTTCATCACCATATATTAAAATTTCGACTTTTCTGCTCTACAAAAGAGATCAATTTTCGCGAGAATTCTTATTGAGGCAGGAACTATATAACGACTTTTAAAAATAGGTCGTTATACAGGGAGTGGTCGAAAAAGTAGACCGATCGAGATCATTTTCAATAGTGGTCGTTCTAGGCCCAAGGCACATGTACGTATCAAATTTCATCAAAATACCTCGAAATTGCGAGCTGCAGCTTGAACACAAAGTTACATGGACAGACATCAGAAGGACAGACAGGCTTCGATCACTTCAGATTATGATTCTGAATCGATCGATATAATATGAGGTGGATGTTAAGCCCTTTTGCGTCTTACATACGTCCGCACTAACATAACATATCCTGCACTATAAGTGGTGTAAGGTATAAAGGAAAAATCGACAGAAAAATACTTACAACGACAAGATTAAACTTTTTAACTTTTTAATAGTTGCTATCACTTTGAAAGTTATCTTTTTTTACATATTGATACAATATCACTTTCATTTTAATTAATCGGACTCCGCCTTGGTATTCAGTGTAAGAGTGTATTGATTTCAGTTCGATAAATCTTTGGAATAAAATCATTAAATAACAATTGCAATCTCTTTTTATTTTTATGCGTATATACTTTCTCAGACATTCCGATAATTGTATTGAAAATGCTTAGAGTACACTTTTTCCATACATACAGTAGTCCAACAAAGTCTACATATTGTACTGAAAAATCAGGTTTCTCTTATTAAAAACCGCATTTATGGGTTGAGGAGCAAAAAAAATATTTTTTAAGACACAAAAATTTATACTAAACAACACTTTAAGATTTTTTCTTTGACTTAAGATGAAGTTATGAGAAAAAGATATATTTTAATCCCATCAAAAACCAAAAATGAAAAGGTATCAGTAAAAGATTCGAGCTAAGCTTCGCTACTATATGCATACTTTAATCAAATTAATGAATTAATATTACGAGTACAGTTATTAAATTTAAATGCAAGCGAAATGAAAATTAGTCTCTTAAAGATTTTATTCTTTTTTAGTTTTCTTAATTTTGTTGCAAGATCGAGTTCGTTTAAAACGAGTAGCGTGTGTTTCTGAAGCCTGGTACTTGCATGTTAAAGTAATCAAGAAAGTTTATTATCTAATTTCTTCAATTTAGCTTAGATTTATTTTATATTCTTGAGCTTAAACTTAAACTGAATCTTAACAGTCTTCTTCTAGGGTAGCTATGTACGCACAAAATGCAGTCCTTTTTAAAAGAGAAAATAGCCGATAATTTGCCTCCTTTTAGTCCTAAGATTGATTCCTGTGGAAATTTAGAAATTTTTCGAACTGATGTGTTCCAAGTTATTGGCAAATACAGCCAATAATTACAAGGTCTGGATATTATATTCGAAAAAGTTTAGTTCTTTTGAGTGTAGTTCAGTTTGTTGGAGATGTCATGAATTCTACAAATCTATTTAAAAACCTATCAAAAAGATTTCACTTAACTTAATTGAATTTTTTTTCTTTTTCACAAATCATTTGAAATAATAATCGCGATTGTTTTACTTCTTATAATTGATAAAATAACTCTGTACAAATTTCAAGCTTGTTAATGTTTCAGAAAGTAATAATTAGTAATGATCGTAAGAAAATTTCTAATTTTTATTGTTTGCACATTAACCGCAAGCAGACATTAAAATCAAATACCGAATCTTTCGATTGCAAGCATATCTAAAATGATTGCTGAATATGTTAAACAAACATGTATTTTATGCTTTATGAGTCGACATCAACAAAAACGGTTTAAAAATTGCCGGTGCATGTATGCGTGCGACTAGATCAAAAAAAAAAAAAAAAAAAAAAAAGGAGAAAAAAGAAAAGAAAAAAAATCAAACTGCATTTAAAAAAGCAATAACAAAAACAATACTAATCAACCAACTAAAAATAACTGCATATTATTGGATGGATTTATATGACAGTGGCACTTGAACAAAAAAAAAAAAAAAAGAAGCGCTTTGACTGAACATTGGCAATGAATGCAAAAAGACAATAGCATTTAGTGCTTGTTCGATTTGGCATTTCTAAAGTTTTGGAAAAGATTCAGTTACAAATCGAAAGTTTAAAGTGTTGGATGTCTGGCCTAATGCAACGTTTAACGACATGTGTATGTGTGTGACTCTGTAAAGGTGTGCGACAATGTAAATGTTTGCGAATGTGTGTGAAGTATAAAAATTTAAAAAAGGAAAAATTCATTTCGCGAAGGTCTATGAGTGAAATTTTTGCATAATTTTTATATAGATATTATTTTAAATCGCGTTATATTATTATCTTTGAATTGTTTAAGTAATTTTCAATATTTTTGCTTCATTAAATGTAAATATTTCTTCGTTTAATTGCAAACAAATCTTTTCAAGTGCATTTTTGAACTAGAAAAGCAAAAGCCAATGAACTGACCAACAAGCATTCATATTAAAGACTCAAACAAATATTACGAAAGAAGAAAGAGAAAAAGGAAACAAAACAAAACGCGAAAAAGCTTACAAGACGTGATACGTCACGACACGCAACTTCAACGAAGAAATGTATGCCATCTAAGCTATTGTTGTTGTTGTTGTTGTTGTTGTTGTTGTTGTCACGTAAGCCTTCAGTATAAGGGAAAAACCGAATACTTGACCAATCCTATTTGTGTAACCCCCGATATGCTAATGCGACAACCTTACTGAAGGACTTTTACCCAAGCCCAAGGTATGTCTAAGTGCGATAGTATATACTGAACTGTGTTAACCTCAACCTCACAGCCCTAATAAATCAATAAACATCTAAATGTGTAGAAGTTTGAAAAGCCGGCAGTCAACAGCCTAAGTAACTAAAACATTTTTCGGGGCATGTATAAAGCCAGCGTACAAAACAATAGGCATGTAGGCTAAAAGGGAGGTAAGGTTTTTCCCTTCATTACGATTTGAATATCTAACCTTTATATGCTTACGTTTTCTACTCTTACAGATTATTTCCGTTAAAGTTCCTTTTGTAGAGCTGTTACAATTGTAATATGAAACCATCATCTTCTTCATCATTGTCCACGTCAACATCCGTTACTGCAAGTACCTCCCAGAGGCGATTGATTTCCTGTTCAAATAGTGAACGTGAAACACCCGCAATTATACCTTTGGATTATAATTATCATATTATGGCTCCTTCTTCTCATCAACTCACTTATAATGCTCGGTCAGCCGGCCTCCATCCTCCGCATGAGCCTGAAGTAGATGTTGACATAGAGGTAGATTATCCGTATAGCAGTTTATTCGGCGATCCTATACCACCGCCGCCGCCTGATGATTATTTTGGTGCTGCTCTTCAGACTCCTCCGTTTTTACGTTGCACTTCTTTAGATTTTAGTTCAGAAGAGGATCATTTACTTAATCAACCTGTTATGAAGGACCATCCACCGTCACGTTTATTTTCACAAGTTCCTTATACCTCAGCTTTAGATCGCAAATTTTCATCATCTCTACAACAAACCGCCATACCGCGTTTAAAACCACCAGATATACATATTTTACCGAACACTAGCTCCGGTGGTGGCTCCAGTTCCGAAAAACAGCAGTCTCCGAATCTTACTTTATCCACATCTTACGATAACACCTTAAAACCCTCTTCCTTTGATATAAATGAAAATATGAAAACATCAAAAGGACATACTGAAGGTAGCCGTCGAGTTTCGAATATATCTGCAGATTTTCAGGCCCACGTGGGAGGTTTAAGGTTAGTCTTTAAAGTCTTTCTAAAAGAATGCAAGCTCATTTACATTGTTTATCAGCAGCTGTCAGAAGCCTTCTAAAATTCCTATGCCACGACAGTTTTCTCAGGATTCTTTCTCAAGTGGTGAGTGGTTTCGTTCTTCCACTTTGGATTATCCGGAATTTTGCAAAATGCCTAAATTGCGGCCAAGTTCTAAAAACGTTATGTCCATTAAATGCGCTGAAATGCCTACGGACTCTCCAGTAGCGGCCATGATTAATGATTCCAATGGTTCTAGTAGCGAGCGTGAAGAACGTCTCATGCAAGATACTCAGGTATTGGAGGCACCGTCTGCTTATTTAGAAGACCTACAGATTAAGGATAAAACTAGAAGCCTATCCTCCTTGAATGAAGCTATAGTCTTATCGCCTAGAGAATATATCAAACAAAGGCGGAAAAGTGTAATACCTCAAGTAGAGGCAGAAAGATCAAGTGTCTCCTCACCTGTAAGAGAATCAGCACCATCCTTACTGCCAAAACCTCTAGATATACCCGAAACAATAGATGAAACGCAAAGTTTTAAACATGAAAACTCACCTGTGATTTTAAAAGACTCTATAACAACGGGGGGAGACTTCAGGTAAAACAAGATCTCATGATGTGTATTAAATTTACTATAACTTTTCTTTTTTTTTAGGATTGAACAAGGTCGATTTCATAAGAAACCTTCGTTCACTATTTTGAGTGAAAAATCTCCTCAATCTTCTAGAGCCCAAAGTCCACAATTGCAAAAAGGTCGCATTGAATCAACACCTTTAAATAAACGTTATTTACAACAAAAGTCGTTGTCATCTCATACTATAAAGTTTCCACAACTCACTCATATAGATGATTCCTCACGACCTTCGGTACAATTTAATATGACCGGGAAGTATAATGCAAGCAAATTGCCAACGCAGAAAGGTATACTGCAATATCGCGAATCCTTAACTACCTCTTCACAAGATACACTGCCACCTCAGCTGTTGAAACGACGTAACTCATCACTGCCTTCAATAGTGGATGAAACGAAAGTGGATCGAGAGGAAATGAAAAGCTGTGAAACTCTCCCACTTATTACGGATCCATATCGATCGTCTATCCCTCGCATTAGTCGTTCAGATTTATATTTAAGACCTGAAACAGCAGTAATTCCTCCAGGAGCCTTACCGCGCCCCTTAAAACATAATCCTAATCCTACGCGTAAGCAAAAGGGTTTGTTGAAAGTTTTCAATAATCAAGAAAGTCTTTCCAAAATTCCTTTACGTTCAAATTGGGAAAGTATAGACGATATGTGGATAGAACGTAGACAAAAGCCTACACTTGCGCCCTTACCTAGTAAAACTAGGCGCAGATCTAGTTCAACATCTCCATCTAGAAGAAGCTCTACTGTGACAACTTCTGATCGCAGAAGTTCAAACTTGAGTACGGTTACCACATCGGATTTCAGTTTTCGACGGCCTTCTCTAGTTAATAACAATAAAACCATGCAATCTTCTCAACTACAAAGGAGAAAATCAGTTTTCCAAATACCTAGTCCCGCGTTTAAAAGCAAAAGTTCTTTAGCTGGTGCTGCATCAAAAAGCACAGCAAAGGGTAGAACCGCACGTGTAGCTAAACCGACAACATTGTCGCCTATATTAGGTACACCAAATAAGGACAGCGGAAGCATTTCACCCAGCCGAGCCAGAGCGCAACGGGCAGACAGTATTGACGCTGGCTCAGATTCTACTTCCCGAAGAGACTCATTATCAAAGATCCCCGTTCCTAATCAAGTGACTTCTAGATCAAATTCCCGAATGAGTTCACAACCAAGTTCACGAGTAGTTTCCCGATCTAGTTCACCTTTGAAAGAAATTTCTATCCCGTTGTCATTATCTGGTCGCTTATCACGAGCAAGTGAGCGAACGTTATCTCAAACCGGGTCGAAAACAGTCTCTCGAGTTGGATCGAGAACCACATCTCGTGCCAATTCAAGAACTCCGTCTCGTTCAACATCGCGGGCTTCCACGCGGCCTCTATCTTTACCAGGCTCTAGACCTTTATCGCGTATGGAGCAAGCTAAAGAGATTGCCAATTCGCGTTCAAATTCTCGTCTAAGTTTGACTTCGATAAGACGAGGTGGTAGTGTATCGCCTAATGTTGGTCGAAAAGCTCCTGTGCAAACGGTTCGAAAACGAAGGATTTCCGTCTCTCTTAGCCCGAAACTAGGTAGACGATTAGCCGCTAGGAGGACATCTATTAGTCCTACTACAAAGCGAACAAAGGTTTATAAACGTAGCAGAAGTAAATCACGCTCTCGAGAGGAGAGAAAGACTTCTCAGTCGCGTATACCAATTAGCAAAAAATTGAGTCGAAGTAAATCACCACCGAAAACCAAGGCTGCCTTAGATACGGGGCTAAGAAGAATATCTTCTTTGAGATTAAATTCGACAAAGTCTAGTAAGCCACATGCTATTAATAAAAAGACGCCCAATTCTCAGCGCAAGTTAACATCAGACGTAAAACGCGTCACTTCTGTAGAGGGGAAAAAAAAACTTTTAAATCTCTCTAAGAAGGAGTCTACAAATTTGAAGAAGTCTTCAACCAGTGGAAATAGGCTTGAAAAGGAAAAATCTTCTTTACGAAAAAAGGTACATCTTAAAAATGGTGGAGGAAAACTTACAAACGCAAAGACACCCATTGTTAAAGAGGCTTCCGCGACGACGAAGCAAGCAATATTGGCAGAGACAAAAGGTAAAACGGAAAGTATTTCTGCCTTGGCTGGGACCACCATAATCACAGCAAGTGATGGAGAAAAAATAAAAAGTAGAGGGGCAGCTTCAACCGTGGGTTTGACTGCGGCAGCTATAGCTAGCCTTAAACGTCAGCCTTCGGCAGCTTCTCTAATACGCGTAAGTTCAAGACTTAGTATGCTTAACAAGAAACGTTCTGACGGCAACCCAAGCAAACAGGTGGTTACAGATTCCCATGGTACGGAGATAGTAGATCATAATTCTAGTACAGAAGATGGTCGAGGTAAGCCTTTGCAAAATTTGCAAATTCCAAAACAACACTGAAAATTTTATTTCCAGTCATTTCACCTTTGAAACAACTTTTAGACCAGCAGCACTTAGCTGGCTTGGAAGGAACGGCGACCATACCAGCTGCCATTTTAGAAAAATCTCAAAAGACACTAGAAAGCGTGCAGAAAACAGTAACTGTGGCTACAGATGAAATACATAAAACAATTAACGAAAATCTTACAAATCTTAAGAGCTTAGAACAAGACATGGGTATAACGTCTAACGGAATGATTTCGCCCACTTCTAGCGTTACTACGGTCGTGGAAAACAAACCGACTCAAGCCGGGACAGGAGGAATGTCTGTATCCAGGCAAGGAACAGCGGAGAAATTGGATACTGAAGGCATGCTATCACTACCAAATCAGACCTCGCCGACTCCGCCTTCGCAACCTATTGAAGCTGCTGTATCCATTTTAAACGGTGATACAAAAGAACCTACGCACTCGGCTTTAAGTAATGGATCTTTGGTTGATCATGGAGCCGCAGCGGCAAGGACCGCAATAGCAGCTAATGATAGGGTAAGTGAAAGTGTCATATCACTAATATGTGGTGTTGAATGTGAAAGCGAAAATTTTCAGACTTATCAAGGCCTTGTTGAAGCCAAAGGTGATAGTGCAACATCTACTGTAGAAGTGGGACAAATGGCTATCGAGGACAAATCATTTAGCACGGGTCCAAAGAATTTCGAAAACGATGTTAAGCGAAGATCACCAGATGGTCAAGGAGGCTCACAAGCAGGCAGTGGAGCAAGGTGAGCCAATTAATAAGATACAAAATAATGTTTTTTTAAAAGAATGAACCTTCAAAGCTTAGAAAAGACAAGTCAAGATGATTTAAATAAAATTTAGGACTAAAGAGACTAAATCAGTAAAAAAAACTCCTTCGTAAAAGAACCACCAGTGCCATTGAAATTTTTTTATTTTATTTTTAAAGCCTTGCATCAATTTACTTTCCCATTGGATAACAACGACTCGAGAGGCAAAGAAGGTCAGCCTATCGAACAGGAAGGTCAAAAGAGATTAAAATAGTCTTTAGCAAGTTGTGTGCGTTTTCTATTATCTCTGCATATTTTCATCTCCACGATTAAAGTATGGACCAATTTGGTCCTATTTATAAAATCCGAAATTCGTAACGGAGATGTTATGTTTTAAATAGATTCTTAACCTAGGTAAAATATATTGTTTATTTTACAAGCGCCGGCGTTCATTCGTCTGCTCGTCACGTCTCTTTAGTTGCGGAAATCGTCAATAATCGCAGTCGAGAGCCGAAACTGCATCTGCAGCAGTGGTCGATAGCCAAAGAGTTCTTTTGAGGTTGAAAGTAGACGTCCTTGGGCCACAAAAACTATCGCAGTCATTAAGGCACTGTTAGTTTTGATCATAAAACGTACTGATGTAAACCGTGCTATAAGCATTTCCTAGAGTGTCTTAAACGTTGTTGAAGAACAACTCCGATATGCTCACAGCCAACGCAAATTTAATTTTCTCAGTTGTTTATATATAAACTATGTAAGATTTTATGCCTGCCGTTGGGGACTTGCAGAAAAAGAGAGAGGATAGATGTCATAACTTAGTTAAGCAATTGTGAGTCGGTCTGAAGCTGAAAAGAATTGGATATATAACCACGCAAATATCGCAAAACATCGGGAATTAAAATTTTTTTTTTTTAACAATGTTCTTAGAAGCATTTAAAAGCGTTCACCTATTAGGTGGAGCATTAAAATGCTCATTACAGCGAAAAGCAAATAGAAAGAAAACAAGAAATATAGAAACAACAGATAGACTATTTTAATTTCCGCTTACTAGGTTAGTTTGCGGAACTCGTTTTGATTTCTTTGAACTTTTGCAATAGCTCTCTAGGTCTATCGCTTAACCAAAAAATATTACAAACTTCAAAATATTGTGTTGGATAAGTAAAAACTGGCATTGGAATTTCTGTTTGTAATCCCACTCAATAAGCCTCCGATCTGACACACCATTGCCACATATGTGTGAGAGAACTGAGAGAACGGAGACTTATTGAGTGATTTGGTATATTTCCACATACAAAAGGCAATATACAATGTGCATACTACTTACTAACCAAACAACATAATTTTATACCCTCACCGTTGGGTTGATGTATATTTATATTGTCATAGCGTTTGCGACACGTACAAGGAAGTTTCAGAAGCACGTAAGGTATGTGTATTCTCAATCGATTGAAGTGTTTCCTTGTGTCCACGTTTGCAGTATCAGTGATAAGCAAAAATGAAGCTATCTTCAGATTTGCAACAACGCCGACAAAGTTGTATTGAAAACGAGCCAAATCGATCGAAAGACACGCTGGCACTAACACGTACATGAGGAAAAAATTTTTGCTCATTGCTCACAAACAAGCAAAACTATAAATATTTCGATGCAACTTCTATGGATGATCTTGTAGTGTATGTACATAATAGAAAGAGATCGGCCACATCTACCTCAAATTAAAATTTTATTGTTTTTCTTAAAAAGGATGAGGTATGCAGCTAGAAACTTTATAGAGCGCATAAAGTACATATATTTTTGATCAATCAGGTTCGTCTTTCCGTCTGTCCGCCTTTATAGATTGTAGTAAAGTTTCTCTCCTTTGCAATCTTTAAGATATCGGCATCAAATTGGACAGAAAAATTGGAAATTCTTGCGGGCAAGTTGTTATGAGAATAGGGGAAGTCAGTCAAAAAGCGTACCGTTAGTACAATTTAAACTGAAAATACCTCCGATTTCAACATATATAACGATAAAAGTTTCCATATTTATTTTACGAGTAATCCTACGGTAGACGATAAGAATAAAAGATTCAGTCGCCGTCGGATATAGTTTTCTTACTTGTTTTGTTTTCTTTAGCCCTTTTTTTAGGATGTAGGCTTTGAGTATAAAAGATTCGGGCACAGCTAGATATAATCTTTTTTCTTGTTTATGTATTATTTTATATGATTCATTTATTATCGGAACCTGGATAATAGAAAATCCATTGCTGGTTGCATAAAAAAGCTTTTGAATTAATCATACTGCTGTTCTTAGCGCGTATCTTACAATTTTCCGGCTTGCAAAAGATAGTAAATAGCAAAGTTTCGGGCATAAAAAATTGGTATTAAAACTTTCGAATAGTCTACGCCTTCTCCAGTGAGGGAGCAAAAGGATCGATCGTCAATTTCAAAGTAGGCCTTCCGATGTCTGAATAGATCCAACTACAACGTTTGCGACGACATAATGATTTCATCTTAGCATGAAGTCGTTCTAGACGTATCTGTCCTTCAGCCACCATTACGAGTTAAGAAAGTTGGGTTTAGCCATTGGCGAAACATCTTTTCTCACAAAGGAGTTTGGAAAAGATAAAATTTCGACAATGTTTAACATTGGGCGGGCAGGTCCGATTTTTTGCATTTCTATACGGGGCATATACCATCATCCCTATGTATATGAAACCGAAATATTTGTACATTTTTTCACCTGTCTGACACTTTGTATGTGATGCCACGCCAAGGGCTTGTTTCCAATTAAGTACGTTCAGCATATTAGGAAGTTACCGTCTCGATATTCCACTAATTGTTGATGGTAGCTCCACTAGATATTAACAGCTGGTACTAGACATAACCCTTTTGGTTCCACAATATACACAACGTCTCTCTGCCAAAGCGATTCCATCTTGTAACGGATCTGGATGGTGCGCCTGCATCTATCTATGAATTGCTACGTCTGACATGTTTAGAATGCATATACCTTCCATCTCCAGTTAGGATAACATACGCCGGCGCTTGTCGACGATTACTCTTTACTTGGCATAAAACTGGACATTTTCGTCATTACGAAAGATATATGTGCGGTGCGATATGTGTTGGTGTTATGAGTGCTTGTTGTTGCTAGATGTGCAACCTATAAAAGCACACAACTTCAAAAATGTATGGCCGCTACGTCCGCTGTTAGGTTCGTCTATTGACAAATTCTCATTTCATATTTACATGCTTACTACGTGGAGTTAATTTTTTTTATTCTATTTGTTGCAGTTTATTAGGTAAACTTTTTTGTTTTGCTAGGGAAGAGTAAGGTGTTTTTAGTTTCGTGTTGTATGGTAGACTTTGGCCGTTTTTCCAAACAAACCAAATGTAAGTCGTCATATTCGTCTTTGTGATCAGCAGAACGTTTGCCGCAGATATTGCACAGATGAGCAGGCGGGCAGATGAAGATAGTTATACCGCTTCAGACTATATACAGTTTAGAGCGTTTTTGAAACTCTTATCTGATTGGTATACACGTTTTAATCCTTCACGCTACAAGGACGGACACACAAATAGTTGAAAGCTAAAATTAATTAGGTTGAAGACGAATATGGTGTTTGTATAATCGACTGCACCATTGTAAAAGAAGCCTAAAAAAAAAGAAACCGAAGATTTCAGGTCGTAGTAGATCTTCTCTGTTCTAAAGTGCTGTAAACACTTAAAAGTGCCTTCTGAACAACAACAGTATAATTCACAAATATTATAGAATTACTGATTCGTCAGATCTGTTCCTTTCGCCTTAAAACGAAAAAAATTTGTTTTTTTTGCCGGTCACTTGAACAAAATTTATTCAAAGCGAAGCTTTAAGAAAAACTTTTGCAATCAAAGTTAAGATCACGTGCTTAAATCTAGTATGCTAGATCTAACAGACCATTAAAAGACGAAATTTTAAACCCTTTTAGTCACTCTAAGAATTTATATCAGAAGTTAAGAAGAATGCATTCTTTAAAGTTACCAATGCTTTATTACCTTGTAGCCACTGACATGTGCAATATCTTGACCTATTGGTTTTTGAGTACATAAGTTTTGGTAATAATGCCAAAAATATTTGCATTTACTTAAAATTTTCGGCTAAAACATATATACATACAATACGATGGCAATGCTTAAAAGTAAGCAAAGCGTCCTCCTCCAAAGGAAATCCGTTTTATGGCATATATGATGTCCTTCACGGTAATGTAAACTTTTTCCAAAAAGATATTTTTCAACTTCGACTTGATGGGCCGTTTAAAAGTATATACACTATTGATACAGTAAGAACAACAAACGCTGTAGAAAAAACACAACTGACAAAGTTTGTGGTTATATGAGAATTTTCTTTTTTAAAATAACCGTAATGTAAACAATGGAAACCGCACTTGTATATATTTGCTAGTATATTCATTCATATATATAATATTTAAATATGTAAATATGGAAAGTTATGTGTTGGGTATAACCTACCAACCTACTGTTTTTCTTCTTTTTTTTATATAAATCAGAAATTTTTACAAACTTTTCATGTGTTTAGTTACAAATTGAGTTGAATCATATCAACCGCATTGAACAGTCTTAAACTGGACATCACGTGAAACGCCACACAATTAAATATTCAGTAATACTATGAAGTGACTAATGAAAAATCCAAAAGAAGAATAATCGGCATATAAATATTTGTAGAAATTTTGCTAAATAATTTTCAAAGTAAACTAATTTAACTAATCTTAGCGAGTGCGAGAGTGCCATTATTTCCGCCATAACGTGTATATATGTCTGCGTGGTATATGTTTAAATATTTTCAAGTGGAATTTCAAAATAAATTAATTGCATAAAATTTGGAATAGTTTACATACACGGCATTGAATATTTAGTTTAATAAATATTGAACGACATTGTGTGTGAAAGCAAAGCTTGCTTTCTTTGCAAAAAAAAAAAAACAAAAAAAAAAAAGAAAAGACGAATAACTCAAGAAA